AGATCGATGTGGGTTCTTTCGAATTTTGAAGTTTTTTATACGCAATTTTGATGGGTTTTGAATTTTGATTGATGGGTTTGTTTGTCTGTGTTTGCCTTTGTTTCAGATTGTTACTCTGTTTTGGATAGATCTGTTAATCCAGATTTGTTGAACAGTCACAAGCAGGTGAGCTTTGCTTTAATGTTTGATGATGATTGGCTGCTGAGAAAATTATAGGGGAAGTTGAATGTTCTCAATTCCATTTTCTTCCAATTTCTCTTAAATCCATTTTCTTCTTCCTCCTCCTTTCAAATCCATTTTCTTCTTCTTCTCCCCTCTCTCGACTCGATCTGCAACAGCTCTGCCAATTTTTTTTTTTTTTTTTTTTTTTTTGGTCTGGCTCACCAAAACGACGCCGTTTTGGTGAGGGATCATCTCAGCCGTTGGATGCGTTATGGGACACGTGTTGCACTCTAAGGGACCACTCTAGAGGATCACTCTAGAGGATGACTCTAGAGGATCTGGACGCCTATCTGAGTCGTCCCCTAGACAAACAAACAACCTGAGAGAGAGGTTGTTCCCTGCAAGGCTGCAATGATCCTCTGCCATTGTTGGGAGTCCGGACTCGTTGGGGGAGGATCCGGACTTGTACTCTACTACCATTGTTATTAAAAAAATGTTTGGGAGCACTAGAAATAGAACATTAGAAGGAGCATTAATGATGTGAAAGTGAATCCCGTTTGCTTTCTATGCTTTTTTTTTTTTTTTTTTTTTATTTTTTTAACCATTCTCAATACATTAGTGCTATTAGTGATATATTTTTTAGCAACAATGCTAGGTATCATGAAAATAATCATAAAAGTTTTGTGACTTTTAAATTACACTTAGAATAAAGCACCACACACTAATCAAAGTAATTTAAGAATCATAAATTTTTCATAATAATTTTCATGAAAAAAAATTTATAATCCCTAACTTTTCCCATTTTTTTATTGGTGTAAATCATCGTTGTTATTATTAAATACACGTTATCAGCTCGCTACCACTTCTTCAATGGCGTTGACTATTATCACCACCACCCTCTTCTTCCTCATCTTCCTCCTTTCTAAACTTCCATCTTCAACTGCACAAGAACAACCATGGATCCAAGCTGGTTACTGGTTCTCCGGCAGCGGATTCCCCATCTCTGACATAAACTCATCTCTCTTCACTCACCTCATATGTGCTTTCGCAGGCCTCAACTCTTCCACATACGAACTCTCCATCTCTTCCTCAGACAGCCAGCTCTTCTCCAACTTCACCAACACTGTCAAACAAAAAAACCCATCAATCAAAACCCTCTTGTCGATCGGCGGAGGATTAGCCAACGGTTCACATTACTCCTCAATGGTCAGCCAATCTTCTTACAGGAAATCATTCATTGACTCCTCAATAAAGACAGCAAGATCATATGGGTTTCATGGCATAGACTTTTCTTGGGTTTCAGTCGGCACAGATTCTGAAATAGCCAACATGGCAATCCTATTCGATGAATGGCGTGTTGCAATTGAATCCGAGTCAAGAAACTCAAATGGGTCGATTCAGCTTATCCTAACAATGGCTGCTCAGTACTCTCCTTATGTAGGTAATGGAACTTTTCCAATTGGATCTATAAACAAGAACTTGAATTGGGTACATGTCATGGCATTTGACTATTACATGCCAAAAAGTTGGAATCAAACAGGAGCTCAAGCAGCTTTATATGATCCTGGGAGTGAAAAAAGCACAGATTTTGGTATTAATTCATGGATTAACAAAGGATTATCGGCGAACAAGCTCGTTTTGGGCTTGCCTTTCTATGGCTATGCATGGACACTTGTGAATCCAAAAGACAGTGCAATTGGTGCTCCGGCGAAGGGGCCGGCTATTAATATTGATGGGGTAATGAGTTATAAGGATATTAAGGGATATATTCAGACATATAGAGGTGTTTCGCAGTACAATGCAACTTATGTAGTGAATTACTGCACAATTGGATCGAGTTGGATTGGGTTTGATGATGTTGAGGTTGTGAAGATGAAGGTTGCTTATGCTAAGAAGAAGAATTTGCTGGGTTATTTTGTGTGGCAAATCCCACAGGATGACAATTGGGTGCTTTCTCAAGCAGGTTAGTGTCAATAATACCATTTTTTTATTTATCTATATTGTCATTCTCAACAAACATAGGAAATATAGAATATATAATTGGGGAAATAACATGTCAGGGTAACTGATAAAAATAATTACAATTTGATGAAAAAACTTATAAAATTATTTTGGATGAAAAGCACTTTATTCTCTGTGATTTTAGGCTGTTGCACATTACTTTCTGCGATTTGAATACATACAGACATTTCTCTTGTGGTTTTGGACTAATTTGCAACTGTTACCTTTTCCATTCAAACAAACGAGAGGTGTGGTACACAAGTCTGCTTGTTTTGAGTTTAGGAACAAGACAACCCTCTCCAGCCTTATAGGTAGAAGACACAGTGAACAAACCTGGAGATGAGGGTGAGGCTGCCCACCAAGCTCTATCAAGTTCTCCACTCCTAATTGCAGGTGCAGCCAACAAGAGACTATAGAGTCTTGTGACCTCCAAATCCTCCCATTCATAAAGTGCACTTCTAAACTGAAGAATCCATTCTCCTGAGATGTCTTTTTTCTCATATATCATTCTCAAAGTTTCCTCCTTTTCCACAGACAACCTATATAAACCTGGGAATTCTTCTTTTAAACATGTGTTTGCACACCATCTGTCAGTCTAAAATTTGAAACTATTGCCATCCCCAACTTTTAACTTGAAATTGTCCATATAAAATTCATATAACCTGCTCCTCTGCTCAGCAATGGATAATATGCCTTTCCACTTGTGATTTATTTTATGATGATAGATTAGGGTGTTTAAGTTAATTTTGTTAAATATGTGAATAATACAAAAAAGTTATATGTATTAGAGAAGAGAGAAATAATAGCCTTTTATGTAAGGATAAATTAGTCTTTTTAATATTTATTATTAACAGCGTTATGGTTGCACATTAATTCAAAACTACAAAGGAGATATCTGCATATATTCAAATTATAGGGGGTAATTAAAATGCTTCATATCAAACACAAGGGAGTAAAATACTTTTTACCCAATTATTTTTTAATGTTCTATAATTTTTCATTAATATGCTATTATTTTTTCTACATTCCACTTAAATGATACTTTTTGGGTAATTTATTCTGATTCTTTCTGCCCATTAAATCTTCATTTTTGTATCAAATAAGAATAAAAATAAAAAGTATGAGTCTTGTGTAATTTTAGTTTATAATATTTGAATTGTATTAATTTAGTTTCTCAATATATAAAATTATTTTAATTTAGTCTCCAATAGTTAATTTGTGTCACGCCCCCAAACCCGCCCCCTAAAAGTTTGGGCATGACCACTTCAGAAACGGACACTTAACCTGTTATATATATATAATATATGGGGCCTGAACGGAAGCATTAAATCAAAATTTGACAATAGAAACAAACTTCATTGAGCTACTACTATCATGCCAGGATCACAAACTTTAAACAGACAAGTAAAATCTAAAACATACACCTGAATATCGGATATATACGCACATAAACACAAGCCCAGCTAATTGGGCATACACCAAAAACGTTTCGGAAGAAAGTATTATATACATTTCAACCTTAGGCCAACAACTAGAGTGCAAAACCAAAATTCGTCAAAACTTCATGAAAATAAGAGCAGCTTCTTCTTAGGCTTGGACATGGAAAGGTTGACCAAAGAGGACAAGCGTCATGGTTTAGGACTGACCACTTGGGGGGTTACCTACAGAAACAGACATAACATAGGGTGAGCCAAGCTCAGTGAATAGTATGATACATAAATGCACAATTAAAACATAATACATAACAATGCATAAATAAATGCGAAGATCATGTAGTTAATCTGTTCCTGTTTTCATTTTAATTGGCCTTAGGCCCCAATCGTGAGTCATAATGGTTTTAAGCCCTTGAACACATTAACATTAAGCTTTTAAACATAATGGCATATAGCCCTTGAACATATGGCATGGAGCCCTTAAACATGGTGGCATATAGCCCTTGTACATATGGCATAAAGCCCTTGTCAGAATGGCATTACAGCCCTTGAACATATAGATATATGAACTCAAGAGGTGTCTCACACGGATTCTAGAGGTGACTCACATTGTAGCACTTAGTTCCATGTAGCACTTTGTTTCATATTAGAATGGCATAAGCCCTTATCAGATTGGCATTACAGCCCTTATCAGAATGGCATTAAGCCCTTAAAACATGTTGGCATTAAAGCCCTTGGACATGCATATTTGAACTCAAGAGGTGTCTCACACGGACTCTAGAGGTAACTCACATCGTAGCACTTAGTTCCGTGTAGCACTTTGTTTCATTTCATAACAACTTATACAGATGGCCATGAGCCTCATAATTTTCACATATGTATGGACTCAAGAGGTGTCTCACATGGACTCTAGCGGTGGCTCACAATGTAGCACTTAGTTCCAAGTAGCACTTTGTTCCATACCAATAATTAGCAGGTCTTACAGACCAAACCATACATAAATGTCATACCCTAAACGGAAATAAATTCATACATATGCATTATGCTTGAATCATTAACCGAGATTAGAATTCATACTTACTTATACTTAACCTTTTAATAGCGCTGGCAGATCAATAAAAAGCATTCTTGTTAGTTCCATAAAGAAATTCCTCAACATTGTGAACTTATAGTACACTTGAACTTGTACATATTTAAGCATGTAACGTAGCTTGTAACATACTTACGCTTGTATCGTACTTAAACTTGTAACATACTTGAATTTATACCAGACATGGACTTATAACATACTTGGACTTGTAACATACATGAACTTATAGCATACTTAAACTTGAAAACTTGTAACACATTTAAACTTGTATATACTTGTACTTGTAACCTTACTTAGACTTGTACATATTGGAACTTGTCACACATATATAAACTTGTAACATTCTTGACTTAGAGTATACGTAAACTTATAACAGACTTAGACTTAGAACATACGTAAACTTGTAACTGAATTATTTGAACCACGGTATTATTACCCCTGGGTAAGGGCCTTGTACTAAAGATGATGTGAATACTTCTACATATATGAATAATCATTAAGTTAATAGAAACAGAGCTTTTCTTGTTATATCATTGCGCTTAACAAAATAGAATGATTCATATTCTTATGTGGGTTGCATACTGATGGTAAACCTTTACATTCCCACCATAGATTCTAAACGGTCTTGGGTCCCTTCGTAACATAATCTTAAATTCACACAACATCATTCTTTAAGAATGAATATGAATTCCATTTATTCTTTAAGAAATAACATATTATACTGATAAATAACAAAGGGCTAATATTCGTCATTAACGGAATATAGGGATTCCAAAATCATACTGACGTACGCAAATCTTTCAGCGTTCATATAAGTTCATGTTGCTTTCCAATTATCATAAATGTTTGAATAATACTTACAAAGAACAGAACATTAGTGACAATAATTAGTATATAAAATGTACATTCTTGTACTACTACTCACAGTGCTACAACGGAGTGTTTGCCCCTCCTGGAGTGTGCCCTGCACACATTCAAACCTTACAATTTAGTTCCCTTTTTATATCAAATTACTTTCTGTTTCGTTTTACTTCGAAGGAATTATTCATATTAAAAAGGCATCAAATACATATTCCGACAACATTAGAGGATTCTACACGCAAAACGGAGCGATCCACGTTTTTCAGCATGGGCCGCACGTGCGGCTGTGATCCCCGCACGTGCGGCAAACTCCCCCGCACGTGCGGCAGAATGCCCCCGCACGTGCCTTTTAGGCAGAACCAAACCCAAAATTTCAGCATTTGCCGCACGTGCGGCAGTGACTCCCGCACGTGCGGCGATTCCCCCTTTTGGTCCGAAATTTGCATCAAAATCTCATCTTTTGGAGAATGTTTCCAAGGCTCAAGGATGGATCTTTTCAATGCTAAATCATGGTTCAAAAACATGTAATTCAAAGCATCATATACACAATCTAACTTGCATTAATCATGAACACAACTCAATTTAATCAACCAAGAATTGAAACTCATAAACATAATTCCATTTCTTGAAATTCTTAACTTCACTTGCATCTAACATAACCTAGAGACTCAAAATCATGATCAAAAGAATGAATACCAATTGGATGAGGAAAGAGACACATAAATGATAGGATTTTCATCATGCACAACCAAGATTCTCATCACACTCTAGATCATACCCAATCAAGAACTTTTTATTTCAAATTGAGGAAGGGGATTGGATTAGGGAATTTAACCTTACCTTAGCTTCAATCTCTCTCAATTCCTTCTTGTTCCTATCTTCTCTTCACTTTTCTCTTCCCAGGGAAACTTATGAGAAGGTTCCTAAGTCTTGTGCTCATATAGACATATATATATATAGAGAGCAATTGAATAAGGACGAAAATCAATCGTTTAAACATCCCAAATTGAAATTTCCCAAAAATGCTTAATATTACCTAAAAATTATGCTGATCACATATATAAAATCAATTTCAGATAATTAAGCCCTTAAGGCCTCCAATTTCTGATTCAAACCTTCTAATGTAACAGATACTTTTCTTGTTGAACAGATAGACATCCCTAAACATGGGATTCACTTACGTAACCGTAATTCCACATGGAATTTCGCAATAAGCATATAAATATACAGAATGAGGGAACTGAAAGTATACCAGAATCATAGACGAGGGTCGGGTTATTACAATTTGTGTCAATCTCGTCTCCAACATATAAAAAGTATTTCAATTATCAAATTCTTCAATCTAACTCTGTTAATAGATGTGATACTAAATTTAAAATAAAAAAAAATTATATATTGATAACCAGATTAAAATACTTGTATACATTAAAAATTAAAATTTTTTATACGATAAAAATAACACAATTTAAATATGAAAAACTAAAATAACAAGTGATATAGGAGTAAAATGTAAACGTAACAATAATTGATAAGGGGGACAGAAGACAACCACTTTCTCCTACCTTTTGCCGGCCATGA